TCTCTGAGCCCTGGGATCACATTTCCAAATAACCTATCTGCAAGCAGGTTATTTGGGGTCGGAGACAGGCAGAGATACTACCCTATTTAAAATCGTAACCCCTTCCTGGTGCTCCTAACCCCCACCCCCACCCCTTACTCAGTTCTATTTCTTTTTTTCTTTTTTTTTTTTTTAGGCGAGACAACCCTTGGTTGACCTCACAGATTGCTAGGACCTTGTCAGCTTACAATCCCTTATTATTTTATTTTATTTTATTTTTTACACCTACAGCACCTGATCTTCTTAGGTGGTCTCCCATCCAAGTACTAACCAGGCCCGATCCTGCTTAGCTTCCAAGATCAGATGGGATCAGGCTCGTTCAGAGTAGCATGGCTGTAGATTCTATTTCTTTTCTCCATATAATTCACTAATTTACTATGTCAATTGTTTATCACGTGACTCTCCCACTAAAATGGGAGCTCTATAAGAACAGGAATATTTGTCTGTTTTGCTCAGTGCGATGTCCCCAGCACCTAGAACACATGCCAAACCCGTGTCAAATGAGCGATCAAGTGATTAGAGCTAATGCGTGTACATTTAGGCGCTGAATATTTAGACAATGGTAGAAAACTCTGGACCTCAAGAAAGACAAGGGTTGGCTGTGGCTGGTTCAAGGATGGCGGTCAGGACTGAGGAATTTCAGGGCTCCAGAGATGGAAGGGTGAGCTCGACTTAGGCTGGCGGCAGGGCTCTCCCAGAGTTTAAAGTCCCACAGAGCCAGAGCCTTTCCTGGTGGAGGTACTCGTGTTTCAGCTGAAGCCTTCAGCGTGGTCTAAGTGACAATTGCTCTGCCCCCCATCCCCCAAAAGGCTGAATTGCCTGTATTTAGAGCTCGGAGTTTCAGGCTGGACAGACCGGAGTTCAGAGCCTAGCCCTACAACTTCTTAGCTGTGGAATCTTGAGCAAACTACCTCTCTAACTTTGGTTTCCTTATCTGCAAGGATGTGCTAAGGACAGAACCTATTTAGTTGGGTCGTTGTGAGAATGGGGTGGGGTGGGGATCCCACATAAAGTGTTTAACACAACAGGAAGTGCTCACTAAATGTCAGTCAGCATTAAACTTTCCTGTATGCCACATGGTGCAGGTCTAGGGCTCCCCTTCCTTCCTCCTGGTCAGAGCCGGCCTTCCGTCAATAATGCTGCTTATCCCACGTGGCTTAGCCAAGGTCAGGAGAGAGAGGAAAAAAATGCCTGGGCTCTCCACAGCATGGAGAAGCCCTAGGTGTCCTTGCAAATTGGATTCAAAGCATCCTGGCTCCAAGAATTATAAATAAAACTAAGCTCACTGATTTGGGCACCCACCTGGGCACACCCTCCAGCTTCCTGTTCAGAGTGTCATGTCCATGAAACCTGGGCTGCTTGAGGTGAGTCACATCAATCTCCAGTGATGTCCGCTCTCAGCGTACTGTCCTGCCTCTACTTACCCTGTGCCCTCTTCAGGGGCACCCTTTTTGCCACCTTACACCCACCTCTACCTGCTGAAACCCACCCATCCTTCTATTTGTCCTGCCTTTCTCATTTCACTTATTTTCCTTTCCTGCCTTTTTTTTTTGGCTTTAAAACCAACTTCCTCCTTATTCCATTTTATTGACCTACTAGTTTAACACGCAATCTAATTTAACACAGTCAAAAATTGGTCACTATTTTTTGGTTCCTGCCAAATAATAAATAGATCTTTCTACTCTCGTCACTTCTTACTATTTCTCTTGTTGTTGTTTTTTGGTTCTTTGATGTATTTTTTTCCTAACCTCACACATTAGACATCGTCATTGTTTTATACCACCGAAGCTTATTTAATTTACCTTCCTGTTCACATGTTTCTTTGCTCACCATTCCAGCTCGAATCTTATGCTTTCCTTCTGGGATGATTTTCTTTGTTCCTGAAGAACATACTTAGAATGTCCTTAGGAGAGGATCTGTTAGTTGAAGATACTCTCAGTTTCTATCTAAAAATGCGTCTGTTCAACCTTATTCTTGAAACATCTTCCAGGGTGACAATTATTTTCTTCTAGCTCTTCGAGATGTCATTCCACTGTCTTCCGGCTTCAGTTGTTGATGTTAAGAAGTTAGCTGCGACTACTTTGTTCGTCCATTTTCTCTCTAGTGATTAATGTTTTTGCTACCGTAAGTTTTTGGTGCAGGTTTCTTTTTATTTATCTTGCTATGCGTGGTTTTGGGCGGTGGGGGGGCAGCTGGCAAGCTCTGAGGATTGTGTCTTTTATCACTTCTGGAGAATTTCCATTCCGTCTGTACTTCTAATTAGACCAACCCATTCAAACCCTTTTTCCCTCCTCTGTGTCTGTCTCTTAACTTCTGTTTTGTAGTTTCCATCTCTTTGTCTCTGTGTTGCATTCTGGGTAAGTTCTTCAGATCTGTTGTCCAGCTCACTAGCTCCCTCTTCAGCTACATTAATCTACTGTTTAATCTATCCATTAGATTGCTAATTTTGAAGGGTATATTTTTTCACCGATCAAAGTACTACCTTTTTTTTTTTTCAAATCTTTCTGGTCATTTAAAATAGTCTCATTCCTTATCTATACCTTTGATTACTAACTTTTATTTCTTTAAGCCTCTGAAACATCCTTAGCTTATACGACATATACCATAGTTCCATGTAAAGTTTTGAAGGTCTGAGTCTATCGTTTACAGCTTTGTACAATTCTTGCTTAAAATGACTTGTCGTGAGGTAATTTTATGTGTCTACTTGACTGAGCCTTAGGGTGCCAAGATATTTGGTCCACATTATCTGGGGTGTGTCTGTGAAGGTATTGCTGGATGAGATCAACATTTGATCAGTAGACTGAGTAAAGCAAATTTACCCTCCTCAGTGTGGGTGGGCCTCATTCAGTCTCTTCAAGGTCTGGATTTTATTTTATTTTTCACTTTGCTCAGGCTCTAGATTTTGTCCCATTTAACTGAAGTTCTTGGCCACCTGGGATCAGCAGCCTCTGCTTCTGCTCTCAATTATCTCTTTGGAAAACTATCTCTTATTATTTTTGACCTCTGATAATTATCCTTAATTTCTTGCCATCTCAGCAATGCATTTCTAAATACGTTTTTAAATATTTTTATCCAGCTTTTTGTGTGCATGTGTGTGTTTTGTTTCAGGAAAACTTTTCAACATTTGCTGTCTACCACATTTCCAGAAACGGAACGAAGTCTAGCCATCTTTCCTGGCCCATTCAAACCTGTGTCTCTTAGGACTTGGCTCACCAGACTCCCCATTGTGTTCCTCTTACCCGGGCCTGAGGTTCGATCACCTGTGTTTGTGACCTACATGCTCCTCGAGGACAGGGATGTGGTTCCCTCTCTTCGCCTTCCACAGAGCCCATTCCAGAGTTCCCCACACTCAAGTCTAAGTGTCAGTTGAATGAAATTGCATCTGGAGGCTGAAGGCACCCATCCACCACTTGTGCTACCAGAGACCTTCCACTAGAGGGCAGCCTCAGCTGGTGCCAGAGCTGGGTCCACCCGGCAGGGAAGGGCAGGGTTTGCGGTGGGAGGGGCCTGGCTCCCTGTGGCCCCAAAACCTGGACATCCAAAGCCCCTCCAGAAGGGACCCAGAGGAGGAATCTTCTTCATTCCACAGGTGAGTCTGAGATGGGGTCATACAGGAAAGGGCCAGGATGGAACCTTGTTGAGTCTCCTCTGCACTCAACTTCTTCAAGAGTTTCTGCTTGGACAACCAAATTAAATGATCTGTCCCTTTGTTCACGCAAAAACGTTTATTCAGCATCTACTGTTGGCCCCACAGAGAGTGCAGTGGTGAATTAAACACGCTTGGTCTTTGCCTCATTCCCCGTGTCAAGTGCAGCCCAACTGGACAACCGGTGTTTCCGCACAAGCCCTGGGCTTCAGGCTTCCCCTTTTTGCTCCCGCTGCTCCTTCTGGCCCAGAGGCCGCCCGCCATTGCTGCCTGTTGAAATCCTGCTCATCCTTCGGGGCCTAGCTCCCGTGCCTGACTCCCATGCTCAGCCCGGGACCCATTGGTGGTGGGCACTGGGCTCTCCTGGGCCATCTTAGGAGGCAGCTCCAGCCTGCAGAATAGATGGGGACAAAGCATCTCTCAGGCCCTTCCCAATTTACGATTCCCCAAGGGACAATGGAGGCTCTCCCTCTCACAAGTGCAAGACCACGCCCTCCTCTGGTGGGCACTGGGCTCTCCTGGGCCATCTTAGGAGACAGCTCCAGCCTGCAGAATAGATAGAGACAAAGCATCTCTCAGGCCCTTCCCAATTTACGGTTCCCCAAGGGACAATGGAGGCTCTCTCCCTCTCACAAGTGCAAGACCACGCCCTCCTTCTTCCCAGCCGTCATTGCACCCAAGGACAAGGTCACCCTTCAGATTTAATCCCAGATTTAAGCGCCAGATGCCAGGGAATGGAACAGACAGCGGGTCTCTTGTTCACTCTCTCAGCTGGTATTGATTGAGCATCTACTATGCATCAGGTCTCCAGGAATGAGGCAGGACCCCTCGACTTCCTTTTTCCTTAGGGCGTGTGTGTGTGTGTGTGTGTGTCACTGTGACTCTTGGGGTTCAGCCAGACTTGGTGGGCTCACAGCAGAGGCACCTGGGTTCTCCCTACCAACCTCTACGATACCAGCCTGGCTTCCTGGAGACCAAAACCACAAGTAGAGTACAGAGGCGTGAGAGACGTTCACAGGCTGAGTTTGGCCGCATGCGTGCAAGAGCGCTTTCTCTTGCAGAGAGGAAGGTACAAACAGGAGCGGCAAAGGACAGAGTAGGTGTGAGGGACACTCAGTGGCCATGTCCACTTCTTGGCCCTAGGATGGCGCTTCCCGCCGGTGGACACGCACAGCAGTCGGCGATGACTCCAGACATGTGGTTCTTCTTCGTAACCGCTGGACTGCTGACGGTGGCCCTCTCAGGTAGCCTCCCTTCCCCACCTCCTGTCACTCCTGCGGGGCGATCTGGGTCCTGGCCTCTGGGCCCCGTTGTTCTGGTTGTTTTCTCACGCTCGCCTTTCTGAAGCCTGTTAGTGGAGACTGCGCTCTGGCGCCAGGGAGGCCCCAGCTGTGCCAGCAGCAGTTGGGGCCCGGAGGGGGTTCAGGAATCCCCTGGAGGGGCTGGCGCTATGCCTGGGCAGTGCCAAGAGGGTGAGGTCATGTGCGCTGTCCTCCCGATGAGCTCCAAGGGTCTGAGGAGGGAGGCGCCTCCCGCCCATAGGCTCGGGAACTCCCCCAGCCCTCCGTTTCTTGCCAGCTCTCAGGAAGGAACCATCTGCCTTCCAGAGAGATGGGGGCCACTGGTGATTGTATTTTCAGTCCCAAAGCCAGGCTCTGGGCTCACCAGGCTGCTACCACTCACAGAAGAGCCGTCCTGAGAAAAAGCTCTAGAAGCCAAGGGGAGCTGAGGACAACTGGTCGCCGGTGGCTCTGGCACAACCATTTGGGGGTAGTTTAAGACACAAATGAACAGGAAGGTTCTTGAGGGCCATCTCCCCCATTTGTGAGTTCTCCCTGGGTGCCAAGGCACCCTCATGACCCGGGCCAGGGCGACAGGTGGCCAGAAGGTTCAAGCCCTGGGCTATGCTCATCGGATGCTGTCGGCCCCGGCCGAGTGCGGGGCCCAAGATGACACAACCTGGGCAGGGCCCGGAGATGCGAGAGATCTTGTCACAGTTGGACCCTTACATTTGGGGGTTGGTATGGAAACAGAATTCTGGGCCGATTGCTTTTGGTCTGGTGTGAGGGAGACAGAGGAAGACCACATCGGGAGGGACATCCGGGCCTGGGAGGACGGAGAGATTGGGGAGCTAAGGGGTGCCTGTTCTCTCTGACTCTGCAATGTGCTCCAAGCCTTCCGACCTCGCACTGGTTCGGGAAAAGCTGTTTAGCTCCGGGAGTGGGGATGTGCGCGCCTTCCGCGGCCCGTGCGGGTCAGCCTGGCCTGTCATGCTCTTCCACGAGCACCTGGAGCTCGGCCGCCTTGGGCTGGGAGCTGAGACAGACAGACAGCCAGAGAGCGAGTCCCTCCCTCCCCATCACCATGGTCCTCGGTGCGTTCTCCATGAGGCCCAGCCACGGCCTCGGCTCAGAATTAAGTCTGAGTCTGAAAGTTCTGCCGGCCCGCCCTGGGCCTGGGGAACTGACCTTGAACAGTGCCCGAAGGGAAGCGGGAACCCAGGGCCTGGGCAGGGCTCAGCACTGTGAAGCGAAGGGGCCCCCGGAGCCCGGTCCGCTACCCTTCAGTCCTGTGTCATCCTGACACTCCCGCCTGACCCGTGTCCACTCCCAGTACAGCGGCTTACTCGCCTTCCTATCCAATTGACTCACTTGTTACTAATACAAGCTTAGTTTTGAAAGGAAACTTTATGTCACTGTTACAAATGGAAAATTGACATCATGTGCCATAAATAAAAGGTAAAAGTAAGCCCCAAAATAAGCAGTGGTGAAAACCAATTTCTGTTACATGCTAGCGAAAGAGTTAGAGGAACTTAAAAGCTCTTGAACCTGAAGCCAGAGTCTCTGTGAAAGGGGAGCCGAGGTGGGTGACAAGGACATCTGGCTCCGAAGTGTCATTTTTTCCCTTGACTTTTCAGGGGGACTGAAAGCACTCTGAGCAAGAAACGGTTTCCTTGATTTCGATTTAATGGCATTGAACGTCGCTTCCTTAAGCTCTCATAAGGGTCCCCGGTGGTGTACTTCGTACCGCTGAGAAGTATGGCCTGGCGGGAAGGGCATTGTAGGCAGAAGGAAACTGAGCCGAAGCCCCCGCGGGAGTGGAGGGGACAGAGGGAGGGAGCGTCTGGTGTGGCCAGAGACAGCCGAGGTGGGAGGCCTGCTGAGTGGTTCTTCCCTTCGGCCCTAGTTTGGCAGGACCCAGCAAGATAGACCCAGATCTGAGTGGTTCTTCCCTTCGTCCC